GCCTCTGGCCTTTCGAAAATAAGCTATACTTGGATATACTGTTATATTTAGCTATTTTGATTTAGGGAATTCCACTCAGCAGCTTGTTTATATTGTTAGTTAGGACCTTTACGTAGGGTAACTTTTTGTAAATAACGGGATTGTTGGTCTGATATCACATTGCCCCTCATATCCAAGTCTAAATTGTCGATAAGTTGCTTGAAAATTTTACTAGGATAGCCGGTATCAAAAATATGTTACATAATCTTTTTAAAATCTCATGCAAGAACATATTACTGAAGGTGCAAAATTCTGCTCTTCATCGCAGCGATATACAGGGTGGTAATTCTCAAACGGGCCATAGGAAATTCAATAGGAAATTCTAAATTATTGAATTCCTGCTTCCCTAATTATTTTACATCAAAAGTCTAAAGAAACTATTTGTAGAGGACTGAACCATATATTAAAAACAAATGTTAAAATTGTTCTACGAATTAAATGTATTCCAAAATGATGTAAAAATATAATACATTTTTTAGGTCACCCCTTAAAGTCAGGCCACACGAGGTACAAGAATGTGTATGACATGTTGCGTTTGGTCATATTTATGTTTCTGATATTTGACAATATTTGAATTGCCAAAATTTTAATTTTGTGATTTATTGTTTAAAAAACAATACAGTTGATTAAAAAATGTATTCAGTTGAGGAGAAAGCAGCAATAATAAAAATGTTTTATTTAGGCAATAGTGCGCGAACTGTCAGTTCTTTTAAGATATCCCAATAGACTAATACAAAGTCATTCGACAATTCAAAGAATTTTACAAACTTTTGCGACCATGATTTCTAATTGTATCTGTACAAACAATATTGCTGAGGTAGAAAAAAATATAGAAAAATCAAAATGAAATAAATGTATTAACAGCAGTTGTGAAAATCCTAGAATAAGTTCTCGGACCATTGCAGACCACTTTAATATTCATAATTCTACGGCCTTAAAAAATTTGAAAAGGAATAAATTCCGTTCATATAAATTTCAATGTCATCAAGAACTAATAGAAGGAGCTGCTGAGCGACGAGTGGAATTTTGTTATGAAATTTTAGAGAGGGCTAATGCAGACAGACAATTTTTAAAAAAACATTTTGTTTAGTGATGAATGTACATTTACATTAAATAATGAACCAAATGTTCAAAATTATAGGATTTGGCCGACAAAAAAGCTTGAGGATATTATTGAAAGTCATACCCAATATCGTCGAAAAATCAATGTCTGGTTAGGAATATTTAGACACATATTATTGGAGCATTTTTCTATGAGGAAAATTTAAATTCAAAACAGTTTTTAGACTTGTTTTAGAAGAGATTTTACCCAGACTTGCAGAAATAGATCCAGATAAAGAAGAAATTTGGTTTCAAATGGATGGGTGCCCTGTGCACAATAACTGGGAGGTAAAGGAATTACTTAAAAACAGCTTTAATAGTATTTTGATTGGACCTGACTGATTTGTTATAGTTTTAGGTTTAGAATTATCATAAATTATTATTAGGAAGGATCACAGTAAACGATATTGAATTTTTGTAAATTGTTGTATATCCTGGAATTAAATTGGAGTGTATTATGATAATATCTTGTGTTAAATAAAGATCTGGCAGTGCTCTCACTATTACCTGAATACAACATTATTGCGATTGTTCGTGAACTGAGTACATTTCATCAATTTTATTGCTTTGTAAACAATATAATTTATTGTTTACAAAGTACTGTTTATTGTTCAATAGTAGTAGTATTTTTGAAAATTTGGGTATTTTAGTATTTGTGTATAATTTAATCACAAAAAAAATATATTGACAGTTCAAATATTGCCAAATATCAGAATCATCAAATATGATCAATATCAATATGAGCAATATGTCATACACATTATTGTACCTCGTGTGGCCGATTCACTACCCGGTATATATATAATATATATATATATATATATATATATATATATATATATATATATATATATATATATTATATATATATATATATATATATATATATATATATATATATATATATATATATATATATATATATATATATATATATATTACGAAAAACAATTGTTTTGTTTTTCTTTAATAATATTTCTATTTATATTCTCATTTTGTTCCGCCACTGTCAAAACATTAAGTTCTTCTTGTTGTTTTCATGTTAGACATACTTGTGAGGTGTTTTGACAGTGACAATTCATTAATTTTACCATTGTCAATTGTCTGGCCATTATTATTTTTGCCTGCAATTTGTAAAATTAGAATATTGGCGACGTGCAAGTACTTGGATGTGATACGAGAAACGATCGTGCGCGAGTAGCGGAGAAATCTTGCATTTTTTACTACAAATTTTATAGATTTCATAAATTCATATTGTCAATTGTCATATTTCATATTTACACCTTCTGTCACTGAAGAAAATGGGATTTAAGAAATGCTGTGTTATAAATTGTAAAAATACAACAACAAATTGTCAATTTAAGTTTTATTCGTTTCCAACTCCGAAGCACAAATTACTACAAAGAGAAAAGTGGATTTATATCATAAAAAAGCATAAGTAACATAACCTAAATTATGCAATATTCTTGCCCCCGATTTTAAAGTACGTTTGAAATAAATAATAAATAAAAGTTCACTTTTAAGTGTAAATTTTAGTTTCATAACACTCATTTAGAGTTCATTGAACCCAAAAATCAAGTTTAATAAATTTTATTTTTTTGAAGTTTACAAAAATGCATCAAGTTCAAGTTTTTCTGAAGATTCATTAAGATATATTCGCTGTCCAAAAGTTTACAGGGAAAGAATTAATTGTTCAAACCAATATGATAATATCATGGGCTTAACCTGCTAATTTATGCATTTGTGCATTAGCATTATTTATGGTAATTTATTTTTCTTAATTCTTCTACATAATTTTTCCATTCTTTTTTGACATTTGCCACTACTAAAGCTTTTCCATTTGACTCAGTGCTTGGTTGAAAAGTTATTTGGTAATTTACTTTCTCAAATCCAGTTTTTATTATTGCATCCATATTAACAGTAATGCTGCAATTTAATAATATACCTATTTATTTGTATTTCCACTACATACAACGTTTACCTTTTAATAACATACCGACATAACCTCTATCTTACTTTTTCTTATTCTTTTTTGGGGCTACGTCTTTGACAGTTATCCACTAACCTCGATCTAACGTGAAAGCGCAGTAAGTTTTGCTTATTTACGACCCCAGGTGTCGCTGTTCCGAACTTGCACAGATTAGCGATACATCTAATAGGAGAAACAATTAAGTAAATAATCTTACCTTTAAAAGATCTGTAGCATTAAAATATTATTAAATTGAAGATACATCAAAATAAGGCAAACATTAATCTATTATATACATCAGCAACAAAACAGAATCACATAACGCCGGAAGATTCCCAATTTATGTAATTTTATATTAATTATTTAACTTTTGATAACATTGATTGATTATAAAATCTATCAAAAAATGTAATTGTCAATTTTGAAATATTATATTTTCAACGGCACGGCTAAAGGTTAAGTCTAAGAGCCAAATAACCCATTTTGGAGCCATTATTAAGAGAGATATGCCGTTCGAGTTCGCGGTCTCAATCTACCTACTCCCTCAATTGTTACGTAACAGTATCTTGTTCTCCACAAATACGAAAACCGTCCAACAGAACTGAGGTCTCAATCTGCCTACTCCTCAGCGTCGAGTGACAAGTGGCCTTAGCATGTGTAGCTGCTTATATATTCTCACTATGCGCAGGGACGGTATGCGCGCAAACTGTCTGAGTAGAATCGATTGGCGATGGGGTCGCTGAAGCAGCGGTCGTCATGTTGCCTGCAGTCTTTTAGCGTCCTCGCGCATATTTAAGCTGTTAGGGAGTTTTTTTAATTTCATTGGTTCACGAATGATTCTCGATTTTAAGTGGCGGATAGGAGTTTAAGCTAGACAATTGCTGGTATGTAGTAACACGAGATTGTTTCAATCCAATTTGGGTAAACCTGTAATTTTTAAGTTTGTTTTGTAATTATTAAGTTTGTTTAATGAAAAATTTGTTTTGTTAGCACAGAGAGAATCTCTAATAACATCACACGTATATATTCAGTCTTTTGACTTAAGAACCTGTAAATATACCCCAGAAATATATCCTATGTTTTAGAAACCCTATCTTTTTACAATTTCTCGACAGAGCTTACCAGTCCCTCTGTATAACTGCACATAATTTGTCGAAATACAAAAAGGACATCATTGGGTATTTGAAATGTCCGTCAAAATTCAATCATAATAGAAATTGATTCATTCAGGAGTTACATAGGTGTTGAAGGAAAAAAACAAATTTTTGAAATAATTGTATTTTATTTAAAATTTACACACAAAAAAGTTTAGCATTTGAATAAGTTGTAAAAAAAAATCAGTTTTACTTATCTTGCATTTACTTTTTTGCGGTAAGTAGAAATTTTGGTGCAGTTTCATCTAAATTCAAACATTTTCTTGTAGTTTGTGCCTTCGGCTCGTAAAAAAATTAAATTGAAATAAGTTCAAATGAATTATCGTCTCATATTTTCCGATTCTCATCGTTGTTTTAAAACATTTGTTTCGTATAAAAAAAGAACGAGTCTACGGATTGAAAATTACTCCGTTCAATTAGGAAATGAAACTATAAAGATAAATTGTGCAAAGATTCAGAAAAATCGGTGGGTTTATTCTCGAGAAGTCGTATTAACTGCATGGAAAAACAGAGAAAACACGTCTAAAGCTTTTAAACGGACCGCGCGTTCGACAGACGGACATAACGCACGTACCCCTATAACTCCGGTAATATTGCTCGAATTTACTTCAAGTTTGGTGTGAATACTCTTGAAGGACATACTTTCGTATATAATAAAAATATTTTTTTTAAATACAAGACCTATGTAACCCGATAAGCCTTTTCTGTACTAGAAAATTCATTTTAAGTTTACTTACATCACGGACATCGTCACAGTACTTCACAAAGTCATCAATGCATGTGCTTCCGTTGGGAACGTCTAGTAATAGAAGAATTTTACTGAACAAACTGTTTATTTTTAATTTTGGTTTGTCAATCATTTTCTTAAATATTGTTTCTGCAATTTTGTTGTTGATGTGATCTGCCTAAAACGTATTAAATAAACATTTATGAAATAGAAAATATTTATTCAAGTTTTTTGAAGAAAAAATTTTTTTGTAGTCTTCTTAAAATTTATTTCTTTACTTTTGAAAAAACCTGCATAAACGTTAAAATTGATAAAAAGCTATAAAATAAAGAACAAAAACTAAAGAACTTCACACTAAAATTTTTAAGAAAAACATTTTGTAAAATTTCTTTTAAAAACTTGTTAGTTGAGGTAAATGAAAGTATTAATCATTAACTGACATTTTATCTTTCAAACTAATATCAAAAACCACATAAATGTAAAAAATATTATTTTTTGTTACGCGGCACATTAACAATTAATACATGAAAAACGTATGCCATACCTGAAAATTGTTTTTAAGTCAACAATGTATGCATCATGCTGCCTTTCACCGACATTATTTAAGATCTACCTCGAGCAAACTCTAAAACTTTGGAAACGCAAATGCAAAAACATGGGATTACCGATCAACAACAATACAATATACACTTTGTCATTTGCAGACGACCAACTTGTACTAGCGCAAGACTACGATGATATAGAATATATGACAAGGAAATTAATAGAGGAGTACAAAAAGGTGGTTTGGAAATAAACATAAAAAAGACCGAATATATGTGTATCGGTGGGACACAGCAGGACCTTACATTGGGGAATGGCGAAATTATTAAACATTGCGACGCATATAAATACCTGGGTATGACCATCACACAAGAAGGAAACGTAGACCGGACGATAGAAGAAAGAAACAACCAGGGAAGAAAAGCAATTACCCTTCTCAATAGCATACTGTGGGACCAGGCAATATCAAACAACAACAAACATAGAATATACAATACAATTGTTAAGAGTATAATCACTTACAGCAGTGAAGTATGGCAAATAAAAGAAAGATACAAGAGAAAACTTGAAGCAACAGAAATGGATTTCTGGAGGCGCTCAGCAGGAAAATCAAGATTAGAAAGGGTAACCAACAACAGAATTAGTGAAATAATGAATGTGAAACACACAATAGTAGATGACATTAGTACCAAACAGCTTAGATGGTATGGACACGTACAAAGAATGTCCGAAGAACGACTCCCGAAACAAATCCTAACGTGGACCCCTCATGGTAGACGAAAAAGAGGAAGACCCCGCCTTAGTTGGAGAGAAGGCATAAATCGAAGTATGAGAGAAAGAGAATTAGATGAAGACCTTTGGATGGACCGAAGTGAATGGCGACTAGGCATCGGAAGACGTAGGAGAACGTTTTAAATCCGATATATATATATATATATATATATATATATATATATATATATATATATATATATATATATATGCATGCAAACTAATATGTATTCCATGGTTTAAAAACAAAAGTCAAATGTCAAAAAGGTATATTATACGTGAACACCGAACACAAAGTGTAAATACTAATTATACTTTTTTCATCTTATACGTAAATGAATAAAGTAATCTATCTATATAAAAGACTAGGACGACAAGTCACACTGTTTGTCCAGTAAAGTATCTACACCATATATAAGGAAAGAAATCTGAACTACCAACATCTGACATTTGAATCATATTTTGTTCTTGAAACGATACGTTTAATTAATAGTACTGATAATATTAATTAAATTTTAATAAATATTAGTAATACGATTATTTTTGCAAAAATATTGGTTGCAGTAATTTTAGAATAAGATTTAATAAACCAAATAATTTAAAGCTTGTGTTAAAAATGTTAATTTAGATTTAAACAATTAGCGCCACCTTGGAAGAAAATCTGAACTACCAACTGAGAAATAAAATAAATTAAACTTTTCTGAGAGATAAAATGTAAAATATTTATTTGCCAAATAAAGTACCGAATAAAAAGTTATCTGAAAAATAAATTGTGTTTATTGTAGTTTGTTATTATATTGTAGGTTACCGCGCAATTAAAAATGTAACCTAAATATTGTTGTTTATTGTGGGTGGGAGACATGGATCCGGTATTAGAAGATTTAATGAAATCGGAAATCAGTATGTTCAATGTTAATAAACTTAGTGCGAGAATATAATATTTGAACATTTTAATTTTTGTAATAATAAAGACTTTTTTAAAAGGTTTAGATTAAGTAAACCGATAGTGATCGATATTCTGAGAATATATTGTAAATAGTTAATAAAAGATTATAAAAGTGGGTATATACTTCTTTTTCCTTACTTAGTTTACACATTCAATATTTTCATATTCTTGATAATTAAAAAATGGATTACTTAACGTTTTCCAAGAGATATTGGTTATATTGATTAAATAACAGCAGTATAGGATTCCAAAATTAAAAATATGCACAAAGTACCTAGGTTGTCAGATTCTTTTAATAATTATAAAATACATTAAATTATATATAAAAAAATTCAGAGTAAGTATAAAAAACATCCAGAGTGTGGTACATTTTCAAAACTTTCAATAAATTTTCTATATAATATATGGAATATTGATTTTAAATTCTGACAAATTCGTGATACTTCTTAAATATGATTTTCTAACAGGTTAGGTACCTAACAGGTACATGGGTATAAATAATATGTATTCTTGATAAGAAGTTTAAATTGGGGATAATAGAAATGGGTCGTTAATTGGAGATTATGATTATACAGTGAAGTCATTTTTAAGCAGTCCACTAAACAATCCATAAAGAAAATTTCTATAATGAATTTCATATTAAAACCAGATATGTAATAGAACTTTTTATGTATGGAGTAGAAAGTTTAGGTACTATTTCATCCAATGAAAGTGGCTGTAAAATTGAAAAGATTCAACCGTTCTAATCTACATCAACATTTTACGAGTATAACCTAGCGAGAGATTAAAATAAAGACAATTTTGATGAGGAATTGCTAAATGAAGAAATTGAACTTTCTGACGTTGATGATGTTAGAGCTAACCTTAAAATACAATACACTCCGCCAAAAAAGTATCGCATCACCTATGAAACTGCAAATTTTGTATTAAAAATAATTTAAAACATGGATTTTTTACTGTTGTTTTTGTTTTGTTTTTTTTTTAAGTACGTAACAAGTATTAAAAGAAAAATGCAGAATGTACGAAAAACAAAGGTTTTATTAAACTTATTTCATAAATTGAAAGTAAGCACACAAACAGCATTGAATAAAAAAAACAAAAATCAAAAGTAATGATAATTTAGTAAGATGTATTGCCTTCTCTATCTCTTATAACATCTAGACAACGTGGTGGCATCCAATTAATCTTCTTAGATAATCTTGATCGATATTATTCCATTCTACGGTTAACAAACGTTGCAGGTCCTGAAGATTAGCTGGCGTCACATTACCAGATCTCACCCTTCTGTAAAGATGGTCCCAAACATGGTCTATTGGATTTAAGTCCGGGCTGTTCGCTGGCCAATTCAAAACTTGTAAATTTACCTCTTGAAGGTACTCGGTAACGATTCTTGCGACGTGTGGGCGTGCATTGTCATGCATTAACTTACCATAAGAGATAATACATCTTCCGCCTCAGAACATAATAGATCCTCCTTCAAAGTTTGTCACCGGTCTTAGGTTGCATTGAAAATAACGCTCGTCATCTCATCTATAAACTGGCATTCCGAAGAATCCGAAGTGTATAAACAAAATCTGACTCATCCGTAAACAGTATGTTACCCCAGTCGTCGATATTCCAGTTTACATGCTCTCTTGCAAATGTTAGACATGCTATAAGGTTTTCCCTTGTAAGTCTCGGGTCAGCGGCAGCTACTCTGACCCTAATTCCAGACTGTCTTAAGATGTGCCTAACAGTTTCTGAAGACACGCGTACATTTAGAGTCTCGGCTATGCAAGTCATGTTGAAGTTGACTTGCAGTCACATGTCTTCGACGCAAAGCCTGGACTAAAAATCTATTGTTCATATGCGTAGTTGCTCTTGGCCGACCCGTTACAGCTCGTCTTTCATAAAGACCAGTCTCTCGGTACTTACTATTACTCGTGATACTGTCGACTGATTTACACCCACTAAATTTGCCACATATCTCTGACTCTAACCACTTGATCTCTCGTTAAATTTAAATTTATATTGTCACGACCTTCCATACTCAATATTTAATACGAAATTTTATATTAACCGCAAACTGCATATTTTTTACAAGAATAAAATAAAGACTAATATATAAAGTAATCATTCCTATCCATAAAAAGGGAGACAAAACCAAGTGCTCTAACTATAGAGGCATCTCCCTACTTAATACGGCGTACAAAATCTTATCGAACATCCTATTAAGTAGACTAACACCTTTTGTAGAAAATTTCATAGGGGAATACCAAGCCGGATTCAGAAAAGATAGATCGACCATAGATCAGATTTTTACTCTCAGGCAGCTGCTTGAAAAAGGATGGGAATTCAATAGAACCATTCATAATCTCTTCATAGATTTCCGACAAGCATTAAAAGGGATCAGATATGGAATGCAATGGCAGAACTTTCAGTTCCAAAAAAACTTATCCAGCTCGTTTAAGTTTGTGTAAATGGCTGTAGATCTAGAGTGCGGATAGGTAACAAGCTCTCAGAGTCGTTTGAAATAAACAGTGGACTGAAACAAGGAGACGCGCTGTCACCTCTTCTTTTTAATATAATCCTGGAAAAAGTAGTAAGAACCGCACAAATTAGAACAGAACTACTGACAGTAAATGGACCAAAATTACTACTAGCATACGCGGATGACATTGACATTGTAGGAAATACCGTCACCAATGTAAAAGAAACCTTCAATAAATTAGAGAGAGAGGCAAAAAATACCGGTCTAAGGGTTAATGAAGACAAAACCAAATATATGTGCATTAACAGACAAAAGAGACGAGATAGAATAGGACAAAATGTAACAATAGACCCCTATAACTTTGAAAGAGTGGAGAGTTTTAAATATCTCGGAGCGACTATCACCACAGATAACGATATCACGGAAGAGATAAAAGGGAGAATTCAGGCAGCAAACAGATGTATGTATAGCCTCCACAACACTATTAAATCCAAGAGCCTAACACGAACATAAAAAATCAGGATATATAAAACAGTAATTAGACCGGTGCTCATGTATGGGTGTGAGACGTGGACACTGACAAAAGCAATGGAAAGTAAACTCAGATGCTTTGAGAGAAAAAATCCTCAGAAAGATCTTCGGTCCCTATCACGATCCGAATACTAACCAATATCGAATGAGAACAAATGCCGAGGTCAAACAAATGTATAGTGCTAGCGACGTAGTCCAAGAGATTAAATCCCAACGTCTAAGATGGGCTGGCCATGTTCATAGGCTCCCTAATAACCGCCTTACCAAGTTAATCTGGGAAGAAGTCCCGACAGGGAGAAGGCCCTTAGGACGTCCACGAATGCGATGGAGAGATAATATATGGTCAGATTTGAGCACAATGGGGCTACCCACTGACTTAAACATCATGGACGACCGTTCGAGATGGAAGCAGGTTGTGCAGTCAGCCAAGACCCACCCCGGGTTGTAGTGCTACCAGAAGAAGAAGAAAATAAAGACTGATAATATAAACACCAGACAAAATAGCAATTAACATTTTCTTTTCTTAAACAGTAACCTGTATATACAAATTTCTTTTTAATATTTATTCTAGCTTTAATATTCTCAAGGGCTAGAAAGAAATAAATTAAATTAACCAAATGCTGTCAGAAATATTTGTATTTTATAAGTGATACGATACTTTTTTGTTAAAGTATATTTTAGTGTTATGGAGAAACCTCAGAAGAATCATTAATATACATGTGTTCTTTATTTATTCGTTATTAAATTTTTCTTTACATAATTTAATTTATTCCTGTCACCACAAAGTGTATAATCAAAAGAGACATTAAAACATTAGTGTGTTTTGTTTGACAATTAATTAAATATTGGTGTGTTCCGAAATAAATTTTAGGATTATATTACAGATAAGTAACCAAAACATAATTTGACGTGGAAAGACGGGAACATTTTATTTTATGAATAGATGTCTATCCTCCAGATACTTCCTATCTGTCAGATAGGACAATTTGGTGATCGTTAAAAAATATAATACACAACTCGAGATTTCCCAATAAATGATTTGCCAAACTAGAATTACGCTGGGTTTTATACGTAGATTGATTTCATAAGACGACTTTACGCAAAAGTTCTGCGATTCCCCAAAAGTGACTTATTTGTTATGAAAGTTGTACAGCAGACTAAAATATCATTTTGTTGCCGTCCTAGCCTTAAATAGGAGGAAGACAGAAAAAATTGAATGGAGTTACTGTAGATGGTAATTGATTGGATCCAAGCAAAATCACTAGTTAAATTATATAATTATTGTCTTATTTTCTAATACAAGTTTACTTACATCTGCCGATACTTTACATAGCGCCAACAAAAATTTTGCAATGTTTTCGATACTGACATCAGCAAGAGGACTTTCATGAGGCGCGCCATATATAGTCTCTATTGTTATGAAAACGGAATCTATCAATAGTTGCATACAATCTGGTATTAACGGTAAGGTTTGTAAAGTAAAGCCTATAATTTGTTTCAGGCTGTTGCTTTCATTATCTAAAAAAAATATATAGACAGTTTAAGTACACTAATGGTGCTAATAATACATTAATTTATAGACAGTGGATCTGAATTAGCTCTTTACGAATTTCGTCTGCCAATGCAACAGACATTATCAAAGGAAATGTGGCAACGGTATTAACCTTCTTTCAAAGCCCGAATGGCCCTCGAGTTTTGAGGGTTGATCCGAATCGTAATTTGTTTTTTTTTTGTCGTCTAGGTGGAGATTTTGTAATTCGTAGCGCTGCTATCCATTGCTTATCTGCACACCCTATTCTTCCGATTGAAGTTGAACGGATCTTGTTGGATGTCGACAGCCACTCTGAATATCCGTGAATAGTAGTGTGATATTCTACTAAGCACCTGTTTAGTGGTTGTCGTGAGTGATGGCGTGTTCTGCAACGTATTTACAATGACCAAAGCGGCAATTCCTCTTCTAGCGCTTTTATTCACTGCTTAGATGCAGACCCTCTTTATTTACGATTGAAGTTGAATGGATGTTTTTGATTTCGGTAGCCACTCTGAGTATCCGGGAATAGCAGTTTGACATTCCGCTAAGTACCTGTTTTATTTAAATAAAATTTATTGGTTGTCTGAGTGATGATGTGTTCCACAACGTCTGATTTTTGTAGTGACTAAAGCGACAGTTCCTTTTCTGATCAATCAAACGAATACTTACCTTACATTTTATAAGGTAAATACTTTGAATGTTACACAATGTGTACTGAACCACAGTGAACGCAGTAAATTCCTCCAATATTTAAAATACTTCTCTTGGATTTTTCATGTCATGTTTTCCCAATTTAATCACTTACATTTTAATGTAACATTCACAATAACGCAGAAATAATTATTTTGGTTCTCGTTGTTGGTGGGTATTACGATTGACTCTTTTGATTTTGATTGAACGAACACAATGCCTTTTTATCTGCTAATGATAAGACTTTTGTTCAAATTTTGTAATAATACACGTACTTTCCATTGTCAATTGTCATACCCTTTTTATATTCGTAAAATCCGCCGTCCCATTGGAAATATGTTGTGGTAAGGCCGTGACAAACAAGGTTCGTGACGTCTTTCTGGGAACTACTGATTAATATATTCTAATACCTGACCAAATGGCACAGGTATCATCCCAAACAAAAAGAGAGGACTCATATAAACCTTAACGGATCATGCTACCGAATATATATATACATATATATATATATATATATATATATATATATATATATATATATATATATATATATATATATATATATATGATGTGTTGTATGTATATGAGCAATGAATAATTTAAAATAACATATATAAGTGTAGGGTTTTTATCGCGGTTCTCAAAGAATTAGTTTGCAAGTACTTTTTAAATTATCTTTCTTATAACTATTATGAAACACACATATATATTAATATAGACAATATAAATTTAGAACAACCTATCTTAAATTTGAAAATTCTTACAATAATAAAATTATATTAACAAATTTTGGTATCTTTCTATCACTGAATGCCCAAATGAAACTATTTTCCAATATAAAGGTTCAATCACCACTCAATATCTTCTTAATACAATTGTCAAAAAACTGTCAAACTTATAAGACGCTTTTTGAAGTTCCTTACAAATTTTTTGAGATTTAATCAGTATTAAATACAGTTCCGTAGTAGTTTTCATAGAAATTAGACGAGCAATAATTTACAATTAATATTGTGCTTTAAATTGTGAAATTTGTGGCGTTGGCTAACAACAATATCGCTTATTGAACCACCTACCGTATGAGTGTCAATAGCGGGGGGAGACCCCCTGACCCCAAAAAACCCTCAAAACCAGGTATATCTGGAAACGTATTCGATAATCAAAGTGATGCCGAAATGGATCTTTCTGTAAGTACTCCAACACCAATAAATTTGATGAATAATGCAAATACAACCCTTCTGAATGAAACACAACAAAAAGTAACAAAACAGGTAAGACAAGCATTTTTATTTAATAGTAATGATCTAGGCCCATATCATGTATATATCGAGAATAGCTCTATGGAGTTTAAAGGTAAATTAAATCCTCTAAAGATTGGTGAAATTATTTTGTCTAACTTTCCTGAAGCAGACAATATGATTTCAAGTATAGACGCCATTGGCCGAAATAGAATTAGAGTCAAATGCAAAGATTATAAAACTGCTAATAACCTCATTAAAAACAAAACTCTAGAAATATTTCGTTTAAATAATTTAGATTTGTATATTCCAAAATTTATTTTACACAGACAAGGAGTTATTAGGGATATAGACGCAGATTTATCGGAAGAGTATATTAAAAATAGAATTAAACAGTATGATAGTCATTGCATATTTGAAATTGCAAATGTTAAAAGAATTACGCGTAAAGTAGAAAAAAATGTTAATGAGGAAAAAATTGTCGAATATGTCCCTACTAAGTCTGGTATTGTGACCTTTAAATCGCAAAATTTACCAAAATATATAGTAATCAATAAGGTTATTAAAGAAGTTGAAATATATAAACAGAAAGTTTTGTTATGCTTTAACTGTCTTAGATACGGCCACTTGGGAAATCAATGTAGGAGTCAGCCAAGATGTAACAGATGCCAAGAAACGCATAATTCAAAAGATTGTACAAAAGTTGATTTCGAACACGTATGTTTTAGTTGTAAGAGGAAACATTTGACCACAAATCTAAGCGCATGCCCAGAATTCTCACGACAAAAGTTAATAAAAGAGACAATGGGTTTAACAAACATTAATTTTTACGATGCAAATAAACAAGTGCCTAAAAATTCATATGCTAGTATTCTTAGGACCAATACAGTCAACAATGATACAAATTTTCCACAAAATTCACAACCTTCTACTTCCTCCCAGGGAAATAATTTTGCTAAATTTATATTTAATCCTCACACAAACACCAGTAGGCCAAATAAAAGGCAGAAACCAAATAATTCAGACTCAACTGATATAGCTAGAAAAGAAATAATATCTACAGTTTCCCCTCCAAAACATCCTGAGGGAATAGTTAAAAGTCAATTCTACCAAAAAAACTTAAACATTGCAGATTCACGGTCAGAAGAATTAAATTCTTCTGTAATAAATGTCATTTTAGATTCGGTTCTTACAATTGTTAATTCAATTAAACAAAATAATAATTTTAATATTTCAAAAGCTGATGTAATTCAGATAATTAGTAACCATTTTAACCAAAATCTACCATCAAATTCGCAGACTTAAATAAAATAAATATTTTACAGTGGAACTGTCGTTCAGCAGTTGCTAATAAAGAGAATTTAGAATACTTACTTCATCAGAACCACATTACTATAGCTCTATTATCTGAAACCTGGTTCAAACCAGGAAAATATTATAATTTTAAAGAATTTAATTGTGTTCGAGCTGATCGCCCTGATGGATATGGCGGTTGTGCCATTCTTTTGAAATCCAACATAATATATGAAGAAATAAATTTTCAAAATACGTATTCGTTTACATATAAGTATATTTCAATAAAAATTGCACATTTCAAGAAACCTTTACATATAATTTCTCTATATAATGAACCCAGGAACAAAGTTTTAATTCAGCAATGGATCAGTTTTTTAGAAAATATACCAAAACCATTTATAATTGGAGGCGATTTAAACGCACACAATTTGGCATGGGGCTGCGAAGTTGATGATAGATTAGGTAAAGATCTTCTAGATGCTATAGAATACTGTAATTTAGAATATTTAAACGACGGGTCCCCCACTCTTGCTATTTCCAATAAACCTTCTGCTGTAGACTTAACCATTTGTTCCCGAGATATTGCCTCTCATTTTCGTTGGAATACTCTACAAGAACCTTATGGATCCAATCATGTCCCAATTATTTTGTCATCACAAAACTTCTCCGCAGCAAAAGCCACCTCCAGTAGAAAACATAGAATATGGAACCTTAGCAGAGCCAATTGGGTGATATATACCAGTGCTTTGGAAGCAATAAAAATACCATTAATCTACGAAGAATTATTAACAAATATAAACCAGGTAGCCAACGTCGCTATCCCAAAACATTCTTCCAATAAAGAAAAAAACAACGGTCATATTCCGAAACCATGGTGGAACAATCATTGTCAGTTAGCAGCTGAAAATAGAAAACATGCATTTATAAATTATAAACAGAATCCAACACTACAAAACCTAATGGAGTATAAACGACTAGATGCTATTGCAAAGAAAATCTTCAAACAGAAGAAAAAGAAGAATTGGATTGAATTTTGCGAAAGTCTAAACTCAAGAACACCAATAAAAGATGTCTGGCGAAAAGTTAATTGTTTTAAAAACCGCAAACAAGCCAACAAAGTACCCATTGATCCAGAAGATAGATGGTTGCAGGAATTCCATAGAAAAATTGCCCCTGCATGGGTTCCAAATGACGACACTGAACAAGAATATATCCAAACGGTACCCAGACAAAATCACAATTTTGACGAAAATTTTCATTTATGGGAATTGCATCGAGCCCTTGAACAAAGAAATAATACTTCTCCAGGTATTGACAATGTGTCATACTCACTGTTATACAACTTACCTATAGAATATAAAAATTCACTAGTACACATTTTCAACAATATTTGGACAAATAAGACACCAGTACCGAATAGTTGGAAAGAGTACCTGATAATTCCGATTAAAAAACCTGGCAGACGAGAACGTGATCCAAGTTCTTACCGACCTATCTCCTTATCTTCATGTCTTTTAAAAACATTTGAGAGAATAATTAAAAATAGATTTGAACATTGGCTAGAACACGATGGTATACTTCCAAGTTCCCAATATGGTTTTCGCAAGTCTAGGTCCACTCAAGATGCAACTACAGCTCTAGTTACTTCAATTCAGTTTAATTTTACGTCAAATAAGTCTACAGCAGCTGCGTTCCTTGACATTTCTGCTGCTTTTGATAATGTCAATTTAGACATTCTTTACCGAAAAATGTTGTATATTGGAATCCCTAGATCATTTGCCCTCTTTTTAAAATCTTTATATTCTAACAGACTAACTTTTTTAAAAATTAATAATGAGGAATTTTCATACCCCCGACTAACCAATATTGGATTGCCACAGGGGAGTATTTTATGCCCGATTTTATATATCCTGTACAACATAGATCTTGAAGTTAGTATACCCAACCATACAAAAATTCTTCAATATGCTGATGATGTTGTTTTATATACAGCAGGAAAATTGTTAAGTACCTGTGAGGATAATTTGAAAGCCACATTAGAAATCGTAAATCAGTACTATGAAGAAATAGGATTATCAATTTCTGACACAAAAACTGAGGTGTATTACTTTTCACAAAAACATAGAGTTCCACAAGGCAATCTTAATGTGGGAAAATTTAATTTTCCTATAAAAAACTGTATTAAGTATCTTGGTACCTATCTAGACAGAAAATTATTATGGAAAGATCACATTCATCAAATTGTTAAAAAATCAGAAAGCTCATTAAACATTTTAAGAGCTTTCTGTAAAACAAATTGGGGAGCAGACCCAAATATTGCTTTGATGTTTTACCGTAACATGATCAGGCCAATTTTCGACTATAACTGTCATTTATTTGGATCAGCGACCAATACACATCTAAACAAACTTGAAGTTCAAAAAAATAAATGCTGAGATTATGCCTAGGTTATTTAAAATCCACTCCAGTCCAAATAATGGAAATTGAAGCGGTGGAACCTCCATTGCATTTACGCCGCCAATTCCTTAGCGTAAATATTTGTAAATACCTGCAAGATCTTAATGAGCTATCAGTTTTAGACCTCACTCATAGATACTGGAGAACTAAAAAATCTATACCTTTGGTAGAAAGCTATCTAAGTACGAATAAATATAACGATATTCTCTATACAAGCCAAATTCCGCCCTACTACGGTGAAATGGCAAAAACACTATTTTCTAAAAAGGTTCAAATATGTTACTTAAACTCACATTTACTCCCAAATATGTTTGATATAATTATTAAAGAAAAATGGACAAACTATCAGTACATTTTTACTGATGGGTAAAAAGATGCAAATGGAACGGGCTGTGCAATGTTCCACGAAAATAAAAATTACCATCACCAGTATAGCTTACCCAGTGAATGCTCAATATACACAGCAGAAATGATGGCAATAATGTTTGCTCTTCAGTATGTAGTACTGAAGCCGTCTAGCAACTATGTTATATTTACTGACAGTAAAAGTGTGGTCGACAGATTCAACAACATTCAAACAGCCAAACATATAAACCACATTGAACTGAAAATTCTAAAAATTCTTTCTGAAACTATACAATTAGGACTAAATGTAATAATTACATGGATCAAGGGCCATTCAGGAATAAAAGGCAATGAGATCGTTGACAATTTAGCTAAATCAGCATATATGCTTGGAGAAAAAGTAAACAAAAATTTAATTCCAGCGACAGATATTGACACCGTTAGTAGACAAAAACTTAAAAATAATTGGCATTTACATTACAGAGAATGTAAGACGGGCTTAAACTTTTATCATTGTAACACTAGGATACCCTCAAGAAGATGGTTTTACGCAGAATCTAATCGACATTTTATAAAGACCATTAATCGGCTGAGAGCAAATCATGCTCTTACGCCATCTTACATGAATGGAATCGGCTTATCAAATACTCCCAATTGTACTTGCGGCAAAATAGGCGATCTAACACATATTATATTAGAATGTGATTTACAAATGAATAATATAAACGAACTTTATAAGGAACTAATAAATTCTAAGTGTTGTTTTCCAATAAACCTTAATATTTTATTATTTTCAAATAATATGGAAATTCTTCATTGCATTTACAAACATGTTAAAATATGTAAATACAAGTTGTAAATAGTATATAGTCATAATCTGTTAATATGGTTTGAAAAAATAAAAACAAAAAAAAGCAAAAAAAAAACAAAAAAAAAACGTATATCACAAATTAATAAAAAAAAAGAATTAAGAAAATAGAAATAGAACAAAAACAAAAGATAAATACAAAAAAAATAACAAAAAAAAAAGAAAAAAACAATACAAAAAACAAAAAAAAAAACCAAAACAAAAAAATTAAACAAAAAAAAAAACAAAAAAAAAGAGAAAACAAAAACAAGAACTGATAAGAAAATTTTGACTATGAATCTGCAATCTATAATAATTAAATATCAGTCGATTTTAACAATCAACACAAACAAGTCTGGCTAATTGGCTCTGCCAAAGCCATTTTTCAAAAAATACAAACTTCTTAATAAATTCACTAATTACCTGTGGAACTGTCTCCTGTTTATCTTCTTAATTAACTAACTCCATGCTGTAACTGTACTTAATTATTTTAAGTCTTCATGAATCAACTGTAACTGACTTAATAATGAATCGTAATTGACTTAATAATGAATCTAATGTAACTGACCGAGAACTTATGAACATTTAGGCTTTCAGATCAGAATATACAATTTTATATAAATTAAACATCCTAAATTAATACATAATACTATTTTACATCCATAAATATATATGTAAATTAAACATACCAAACTAATAAATAACCCCATTTCACATCTGTCATAATACAGTATAGTTGGTTGCCTATGCACCTGGCTCACTTAAATATATTTATTAATAAAATAAAATAAAAAAAAACTTTTTAAACTTATTCTTATGCTAAATTCTTAAAAATTCCTCTTATAATTATTTTTTTATAATATCCGCTAGTCTATAACTTATAAATTATTTCTTTAATCACTATTTAAGTTTATTAATTAAAAATCATAATATTACTATGCTAATTTCTCCTATATCTATTATTATCTCAATATATATATATAAATATATATATATATATATATATATATATATATATATGCCTGAATATTAAGGAAAAGATATAAAAGGATATGCCTCCAAGGACGTCAAATGATTTATTAGCCCAAAAATAGTCAACCGTAATGTTGACCAACAAAATCAATCAAAACTAAAATACCATCACACAAAACAACCTTCTTCTTCTTAACGTGCATTATCAAGTCCCATTGTCGTTAGCGATTACCATGGCAAGACTCTCTGTTTTATTCTATTGTCTTCTTCTCAGCTATTATGAACAGTTGTTCTACTTTCCGTATCCCGGTCCATTCTCTGATATTCTTCAACCACAAGGTTTATTTCCTGACAATTCCCTTGTGTCGTTCGATTTTATCCATCATAATCAGTTGAAGAATATTATACTGTTTTCTCCGCATTATAGGATCAAAATATCCTATTTTCTTAAATTTAACGCTATCAATCAGCTGACGAGTAGCTTCTTTGCTAATATTTTTAGTGTTTGTCTATACATTCACATTTCAAAAGCGTCTAAATGGTTAATAGAAGATATTTTTAAGGTCTATGCTTCGACACCATATAAGAAAACTGACCATATGTAGCATTAAACTATCCGTTTCCAAAGTTTTAATTTATCGTTGCAAAAGAACTCATTTTAAAAAATTTGATGCTCTTTGTATTGACTGTCCATTTATTTGATTTTGTGTATTTTGATACGGTAAAAGACTAAATACCATGTATTTTGTTTTAGAACCATTTTTAGTCCTTGCTCTCGTCCCACTGTGTTAATAAACTTTAAACGAGACATTGCAATCCATTTAAGTAATCGCTCAATATAACTGTATTATCCGCGTATCTGATGGTATTTATGTTGTCCATTGATTTTTACATCATATTTCAAGTTGTGCAAAGCCTGTTTAAAGATTCTATCTGAATATAAATTAGAGTGAGGATAGCACGCAATATTGTCTAACTCTCTTTAGAATCTTACACTATTCTGTCGACTTACGGTTAATATGAATTGTCGCTGTTTGACACCTCGTTCCAACTGCATTATGCAGGGAAAGATCCAAGCAAATAAAAGCATAGGGAGGCGTAGAATATCATGGTTGCGCAACTTAAGAGAGTGGTACGCATATACATCAAATGAACTTTTCAGAGCAGCCGTCTCAAAAGTCCGAATAGCTATGATAATTGCCTACCTCCGCCGCGAAGATGGCACTTGAAGAAGAAGACTGATCGATTAATATGAAGTTAATGATGTTCCATGTTGCAGTTTCAGGTATTCCTATTTCCAACATTTTCTCATATAGAAAGTGGAGATTAACATTGTCATAAGCCCGTTTTATATCTAAAAACAAAGAACTAACTGCTTTCTTATAAGTAAAAAAAAATATAAATGTCTATCAATAAGTGGCTGATACTTTCTTGTGTGGATTTGACACTTGAAGAAGAAGATTCAATGATTCTGCCATCGCGGTTATTAACTCCTTTGTCTTTTAGTATTTTAATAAGTAACAAAAGAAGCACCAAATTTTATTCGAAGGAACACAGATGCTTAATATAGCAACTACTATCAACGGATGTTCAGAGAAGTTGTCAAAATCGAAAAACACACGATCAACCTTAATCGTACAGAAGACGGTCTGCATCTAAACAGGATGGGTATTTCAGCGCAATGAAATACGAAACCTTTCCCCCAGATGAACCTAAAATTCTAATATCAATTCGGACCAACAGGCAAAGCCGGGGTACCACACGATTGTTGTAAGTAATGTAGATACTGTAGAAACAATATCCGTAAGTGAAAGAAGATTACGGCGTTTGCCTTAGCCTTTTATAACGTCTGGCGTAGTTCCAAACGAAACTTCAGAAAGAAATATTTACAGATATGCGGCTTACAAATCATGAAATCAATGTACATTACACAAACACTACAAAACACCGGCTGCGAAAGAATATACTCCTTGCTAACATATCCACTAATAATATTCTAAAAAATAGTTGAAAAATATTAAAAATAAATTAACAAAAAAATAGTAATGAATTATGGAAAATAGTCAAAAATTTTAAATACCTCTAGCTGGGTTACACCATTTAAGTATCAGCCTAGCGACTAAAGAATGTGAAATTATTCTGTTACTAAGTACTAGTTGGCACAAACCACGTCCAGCCTGTTCTTGGATATCGTATTGCTAAAATAAAAATCGATACAAGTAACATAACCATTTACGTAATCCAAAATTAAATAGAAAAAGTTTACGAACCAAAAAAACATAAAAAATTTGAAAATATAAAAGTTATTTTGATTTGTATGATTTTTATTTGGTAAATTCTTACAAAATCAATACTTTTATGAAGTATCATTAAGTCATGATTCTCGTGTTAATTATAATCAAAATCCAGGTAAGCATGATAAATTAAATGAGGGTGTCAATTAAATCAGAGAATATTAAGAAAATGAAAGAAAATTTGTAATTTAACAATCATAAACTTAAAATATAAATAGACTGTGCATTTCATTAGGCAAAGTAATGAGACCAACTTTCTTTTTTCCTCTTTTTCTTTCAAACTGTTTTCTCTGTCTCTGTCTTTTTGTACGGAGGTAAGAGGGAGAGGGTAAAACAAAATAACGAGCTAGATATAGTTGAAATTAGTTAAGAGATCTTGTTGACATTGGAAACTGCCGACTTGCTTAGTCTATTTTATATAAGTTCATGGTAACAATAACTTGCCATAACTAGTTAGTAAATATTTCTTACAGCTTTTAAATTACTAATTACCCATATAAATATAATTGTTGTTTACCTTTGTTTTCTGGCTAATTGGTCTTTACCAAAGCCATCTAATGAAGTACCTTTGTTTTGTGTAAATATTTGTCATTATTGTGACTGTAATTATAACTGTTAACACACCACTCTCTCAGTATTCATTTAAATTGGAATTAATAATTTAGCTCAACGAGGCTATGAAATGTTCACCTTTCAGTTTACTCTCACCAATACCTTTGTTTGGGAGGAAACCTTTAAACTGTCAGGGTAGACCGCAGCAAGAAAACTGGGTATTGCGCTCTCCCCTAGTGTGTGGGATTCAGTCCGCATGCTCAATCCAGACCCGAGCAAATCGATCGTGAGAATGCAACTGCCTACCTACCAAGACTCCCTCATTTACAACCGCGGGCACCCGGTACGTGTTCTTAGCAAACGTTACTTCGATTGCCCCGCTGCAGACTCTCTCTCTACTTCATGCCAGTAAGGCCGATAGTGAGAAGGAGTAGTCCATCTTCTGATTTATTTTGTTTAATTTAATTTTTTGTTTTGATTTTTTTTGCTTCTAGGAAACTGAAGTCGTTTGCAATAACTTCAGTTTCCTACCCTTTTTGTCTAAAAGTTAAAAATGGCGGAGATATTGAGCAAAAACGGTTCTCCTTTAAAATCAAGATGACGACTGACGTAACGGCGGAATTCAGTCGCGATTTTAAATTAACACTACGATTGGCCCCTCTAAAGGTTAGAATAATAAAATTTGGAGCAGCTTGCCATGTAAGATCAAATAGGATATCGACTGGACTATTAATTCCGTTATTAGTTCTACTATTACGTTAAAGTTGTCTGTGTTTTGCATGGCTATATTTATTATATTCTCTGGTGTTTTCTCTCCTAGCCTTGTTCTCATATCTTGTTGCTTATCGTGGAAAACAATATAGTGGAATACTCAATCAGATTTATTCTTTAACTTTTAACAAATCGAATAGAAATGACCAAGTAGAATCGTAATTACCCGAAATCGGAATGTTGGATATCTATCGCGTCATTTTTGTGTTTAAATTGGCATTCTGTAACTCATATCGTAATCGGTGTAAATCGAAAACGTCAACTTCTACTTACGCGCTCGGAAGTTGGTGGCAACCCCGCACTAAAAAGTGAAATAAGTGTTCGTTAGGCTACTGGACGTTATGGTACTGGAAAGGCTAGTGCACGCGAAAAATTCATTAAAAAAAAGATTATATTTCAAGCAAAGCACTTAAATTATTTAGTAAACATAAATAAATCTAAATAAATAACACCACAGACTAAAAAATGAAGCAGTTACAAAAATGAATCAACCGCTAATTTATATCAACAAGTCAACAAATAAATGTCAAAACAATAAGGATACCAATGCGCAAGCGTCAACACCATGGATGTCGAAACTTGATCTCGACAGAGCTTGTCTAGTCGAAATCAATTTCTACTCACATTCCGATAGTAGAGGTCAAGATGAGTTACAGAATACCGATTCCTACAATTCCGATCCAACTTGCTGACCTCTATTCGATTTGACTCATTTCTATTCGATTTCTAGTTACAGAATAGAGTCGAATGTTCTGCATCGTCACGCACTCCGCATTCTATACATAAATCGTCTTCAGTTTTCCTTATGCGATATTTATAAGACCTAAATGAGCCGTGTCCGGTCAGGAATTGCGTAAAAAAGTAATATGTTATTTTAAACCTACATTTATGCCACTCTTGTACAGCTGAAATTAGTACCTTTGCCCATTGTGCTTTTTCTCTGTGTCTTCCATTCTTGTTGCCATTCGTTAAGCATTTGTTCTCTTACCTCGGCTTTCACCCATGCTAGGTGGCCGTCATCGTTGTCGTATAAGATCTTACGTTCTTTCGTTAGAAGGTGAATGGAGAGCATACCCGCAATCACCTGTAGGGTTATCGTCGATGTAGTGCGGTAAGCACTTATTACCTTGAGACGTTGTCTTTGGGTTCTTGTTAAAATTTTCTTTGTTAATATTTGCGAGTCACCATGGACTTCTTTGAACAGGCTGTAGTCAACTTTTTTACTTGACCCCTTAAGATCCAAAGATTGCGTGGGAGATGATGGACCAAAGACTTCTTAATTTGGAATGACATACCCCAAGAGATATTGAACACCCAATCAGAAGTGAGCCCAGACGTATTCAAGAGTATGTTGCCCATCGAGGAACAATCGACGTGTTCGTATTTTTATCTCACATATTATATGTTATTTATTTATTATTAGAAATTTTTAACACTGTGCAAAAGAGTAAAGAGCAAAATACCGATATCTTCTGAGTATTTACTATTCAGGCATTATTAAACTATGTATAATAACCAAATAAATCTTAGTAAACATTTAGATCTAAAAAGAATGTAAAAAAGTACTTATAGACCAGTGTCGAAGCCTTTAAAAAAGGTAAAAAGACAAAAAAAATTATAGTAGAATGAAACCTATTGGAAAAGGAAGAGAATATGCTAAAAATGGAAGAAAAAATAAATTCCACTCCATCCGAGGTCGGGAAGTGGGAGGGGTGAGTTTTTAAGGGTAAAAATCGGTTTATCACGATTTTCGGCGAAACTACAAGTCTCATGGAAAAAAGTTAAATGGCAAAGTTGTATGTAACAAAAAGATCTACAAGTTTTGTACTTAAACTTTTTTCACATAACTTCGAAATTTTTGTGGAAAATTCAAAAAACTAAGTTTTTGATTTATTTTTTTCTTTTACAAAAAAAAATTACGAAAGCACCCTAATTTTCAATCGAAAATTCACGCGTCAAAATATCAGTTCTTTTAAAAAAAGTCCGTGGGCTTTTTGTTCGTTCTCTACATTCTGATAGTGTAAAAAAATATACATTACTATAATAAATGTTCTCAAAAAAACGCAAAAAACGAAGAAAACTCGAATGGAAAATTTTTTTTTTTATCATTATGAACAATTTTGAGATATTTATTAAAATTAACCCTGTAACTAATCATGTTGCGTAAGATTTCATGATACATTGACAAATAAAAAAAATATAAATTGCAATATTCTACTATAATTAACAAACAACTAAGTTAATAATGTTTATATTTGATAAAATATCATTGCACTTCTGCATTGATTTTCAGGTTGCGATACAACATCTGGATTTGCCGGGAAAATAAAGAAAAGTATCGTAAATTCATTATTAGACGCTAAAAATTTGTCAAGTTTTGCGATATCGCAAAAAATGGATTACAATTAGTCCAATCTATTTATAAGTGCAAAAATGATAAGCTAACGCTGAATCAATTACAATTTCAAAAATATCAAATGGCGAAAATCAAATCATCTTTCGTATTGGCAAATCTCCCACCCACAGAAGGTGCAGCAGAACAACATTTTTACAGGGCATATTATCAGCTTCAAACATGGCTGGGCAACGAACTGACAGCAACAGATTGGGGCTGGAAACAACATCAACGAAGCATTATGCCCAAATTTACAGAAAAGGAACTGATCCCGGAAATACTGCTCAAAACTATTTGCTGCAGCTGTGAAACTAGATGTAACAATTTAAAATGTTGTTGCTGAAAACATGATTTGAAATGCACAAATTTATGTTCAAGTTGTCACGGCTCAAAAAAAAAGCTCTAATGTGGAGAAAAAGCCTACGAAGAAATTAATGATAATGATTCTGATGAAATTGTGGATGAGGAAGTAACACAGACAAGAAACAATATTGGAGATGAAGACGGTGATGGTCTTGAAGATTTCGAAGATCTTCTAGAATCAGAAGGCGACGAAGGAATGCCATCAAAGAGACAAAAATTAATGCAATAAAATTATTATAATAAATTATACAATATTATATATTGTAAGATTGCCCATGACAAAAATGTAATTAAATATTAATAAACCAGCTTTTGAATTGTAAAAAAAAATTGTATAGCAGTCACATTTTTTTGATGAAATTCCCTTTTAATTCCCATCTTGAATATTTTTAACAGCTATTTTCACATGTCTTTTTGCAATCTTAATGTTTTGTGGATTTATAATTTTTTTGTATATCAATGTATCATGAAATATTAAGCTACATGACTAATTACAGTATTAATTTATAAGAAATATTTCAAAATTGTACATAATGATAAAAAAAAATTTTTTCGATTTGTTTTTTTTTGTTTTTTGCGTTTTTTGAAAACATTTGCCATAGTAATGTATATTTTTTTACACTATTGGAAAGTAGAGATTTGAACAAACAAAAAGTCCACCGACTTTCGAATAGTTTAGCCATTTTTTTGAAATGCAGATCTTGCTTTCTCTATCCTAGGAAAGTGTTTAACTGAATATTTGTAGATCATGCTTACTTTTTCATATCCTCAATACTCATATTAAGTTTTACTGATATTGTATAACCCATTTACCAATAATATACAGTGTAACTCACAACACAAGATATACCGAATGAATTGTAATGTACACTATTGTTACTTTTTCGTAACAACAAATGTTGTTACGAAATATTATTAATAGACTTGTTCCAACACGCAACTTTTGAACTGTCCAGAAATCGTCACGAAACTTCTTTTGCCGTTTTTTTATGCGTATGTTCTATATTAGTATCGTTCGAAGACAGTAATTCGAAAACCTAGAGCATAAAATCCTAATGCGCTGGTTAGCCCAACAAGTACTTGCATTTGCCAGATTACTGAAATGATTATAATGAAACCGTCAATGGAAAATCGCACTTTTTGTTAAAACACGGGAAAAAGATGAGATGAACCATCATCTTTTTGTTAAAACGTACTTTATTTACTGCGCAGGAGCGTGACCGTTAGGTGACGATTTTTCATTGTGATGGAACCAACTTAATGTTATACTGGTAGTGGGAGTTTTAATAATGTTATTTAATATAAATTAACATAATGTTTAAATTTTAACTTACGTCATCATTCAAAAGATCCACTAATCCTTGCATAATATCAGTCAACGATGTACCTCCCAAAAAAATTGCTTCTTGTTGTTCTGTCATACTGTCTGATAGTGCTTGTTCAGTCTTGGGAGAAGCCATTAATTGAGGCCCGTATATTCGCAATAAGTCAACAACCGCTGCTATACATATTAACAGCGTTTGTATGTCGCATTCTTCCCCACTTCGATAAGCAAATATCTAAAAAAAATTGTAATAGTTCATAAACTTGACATTCCAAAAATATTTTACTGAATTGCACTAAAGCTCAAATATGGCCAAAATTGTACTTGTAATGCTATATTGTTTTCCATGTTTGTAAGTCGTGATCTTTTCTTAGTTATCGGAAGACGAAACACCAAGAAGAAATAATTCCAGACCACGACATATAAATACGGAAACAATGTATCATTACAATACATCTGTGAAAGCCTTCATGAAATTGTGTTAGTTTAGGGTCTATCTATACGATCCACAAGTTATGTATTTTTTGTTTATCAGAGCTTTACTTTTAAATAATTAATATGACTGTATAGTAATTAATATGTAAATGAAAATGGTGTCTGGAGAAGACGATACAACTTCGAACTCTATAGAATATACCAGGAAACAGATATCGTACAACACATTAAGATAGGACGTCTAACGTGGGTAGGCCATGTAATGCGGATGGAGCAAACCGACCCAGCTAGAAAAACGCTCCTTGATAGACCTATTGGTCAAAGAAGAAGAGGAAGACCCAGAACAAGATTCCTAGATAACATAGACCAAGATATGAGAAATATGGAAATACGTGCTTGGCGGAAGAAGGCGATGGATAGGGACGACTGGAAGAGAATTCTTGGGGAGGCTAGGACCCACACAGGGTTGTAAAGCCATAATGATGATGATAATATGACTGTATAACATTTTATATACATCTAGATTCTTTGATTCTAAAAGATGTGTTAGATTAGAAGGTAATTGACCATTAACTTGAACAAGATTGCTATAAAAATTTGATATTTTAATAAAACGTAAAGGACATTCTAACAGCATATGTTGTAGATAACCTAGCTCCCCCCAAATACATTCATCATTATTTGCCAGTTCTATTTTTGTTTTGTAGACTGGAGTCATACAATGATTGCTTCTTTGAGTGGATTCTTTCATTGTTGCTTTTTTAGCCAGATCATCTACTAATGCGTTGTTTTTACACAAATATGTGCTTCTATCCAGCACAATATAATATTTTTGCCTGATTTCAAAGCTTCACTGTTCAGTGCTATACTGTCACTGATGATATAATATGCATAATTTTCTACAAAATTGTGTATATTATATTTCAGTTTAGGTACAATGCTTTGGCAGTCTGTCAATATAACATAGTTTAGTTCTTTTTGATTCATACATATTTTGTAGGCTTCTCTGACTGCTATGAGTTCAGCTGTGAAAGTTGTCATTTTGTCAGGTAATCTGTTGTTTATCTTTATACTTTTTTGAGATTGAATGCAGCATATACACCTTTTCCGTCCATTTTTGAATAACCTGTAAATAATTTCTGATAACTAATTAAGAATATTACTTAAATGGCAGTTAAATGGAGATAAGTAATCCTTATAATTTAATTTTTGAGGCGAGTTTTGTTCTATTTGGTGTATGTTAAGTGGTGTTAGAAACGTTGAGAATACTGCTCACAACTAAAAGCAGCTTATTTTATTCGCAGTAATAATGAGTTAGGTATGTACTGGTTAGTTGTACAATTTTATTTAATAACAGTTTATCGTTAACCGCCACTTTAACCACAAATTTCTCACTTGAAAATTCTGTGCGTAATGAAAGTGGAGGTTCATTAACATGCTCACATGCCATGACTAATATCGGTATACTACGAAGATAACCAGTCCTTAACCTAAGTGTTTTATTTATTATTCTTTCGATTTATTTTGAGTACAAAGTTTGATGCTGAGCCATAAAATATAGATAGATAATCTAGGATCGATCCCATCAAATTTGTGTATAGTATTGTGTGTATATTGAGATGTATGGATCAGCTCCCCAATTACTGACACTTGCAGTCTTGATGATATTCATTGCGTTTTTCGTTCTTTGTAATATGTAATTTATGTGTTCTTTTCAATTTAATTTGGAGTCTAACAATATGCCCAGAAATTTTATTGACGTTTTATAATAAATATCATAATTATCAACTTGTAGGTGGTTTGGAGGAAAATATCCATTTCTGGTGAAAGTAACAATGGTTGAATTACTCTCCGAGATTGTTATATTCTTATACGTCGCCCTTTTTTAAATATATTTAATGCGGATTTAAGGTAATTATTACATTTATCTATTGACTTATTTTTTACATATATTGCAACATCATCAGCATACTGTAAGATTTTTATTTGTTGAAGTTTGTTAAGTCAGCAGTATACAGTATATATAATAGAGGACTCAAGATGCTACCTTGTGGTAGTCCCAAATATGTGTACCGGTTGTTAGATTTGTCTCCTTGTACTGATCGATTGATCGAGCATAGGGATTCGTAGAATGTCGTGGCTGTGCAACCTGAGAGAATGGTACGGATGTACATCAAATTAACTTTTCAGAGCAGCCGTCTCAAAAGTCCGAATAGCTATGATGATTGCCTACCTCCGCCGCGGAGATGGCACTTGAAGAAGAAGACTGATCGATTAATATAAAGTTAATGATGTTCCATGTTGCAGTTTCAGATATTCCTATTTCCAACATTTTCTCATATAGAAAGTGGAGATTAACATTGTGATAAGCCCTTTTTATATCTAAAAACACAGAACTAACTGCTTTCTTATAAGTAAAATAAAATATATCAATAAGTGGCTGATACTTTCTTGTGTGGATTTACCTTTTCTTAAACCAAACTGAGTTTTTGGTAACAGATCATTCTTTTCTAACCAAAATTCCAGACGGCCTTTAATAAGTCTCTATTTAACGATTTTTACTGTCTCAGTCAATTTTTGTTGTCGTGCTGTGTTAATACGACACTACTCGCAGACTATGAATAAGTTCATCTGCGATCTCTTGGTCTAAGTTTCAAGAAAATTCTGGTATAATATATACTATTTTGACACCATCCTGGGATATATTCTTTTCGATAACTGCTAGATATGCTCTTCTTGGTTGTACTTATCACAGCCCCGACAAAACGAGCATAGTACTTACTGAAAGGAGGTATCCAACTCAGGCACTTATGAAGATCAGAAGCGAAGTTTTCTCAGTTTGCTCGTATAAAGTTCCATCTTGGTCTTGGATTACGGGAATTTGTATGCCAAGCTCTACAATGACTAGAGACCACTTCTTGTGGCTACCAGATGGGTGTTGTTACAGTCGCTTGATAAAAAATATAAGTCCGGTTTGTACTCCCTGTTCCATGTCTTTACCTTTAGCATCAAAAATAAGATGTAAATGCTCATCTTCAGTCCATTGTATTAAGGCATCCCCATTTATATCATTCTACCTATATTTCGACTGCTCGTAATGACTATTGAAGTAGCCTACATACACAGCTGGATGTGGGTGAGTTTCTGTAACGTAAGTTGGCCATTACTTACCTGGAGGTTTACAGATTTAGTGATAGTGATACTACCGATTTTTTCAACAACGGTTTGTATGTCGTTCTCAGAGGAGGTGGTAACAAGGGATGTGTTTTCTATGTTTATTTTATGTATGTGGCTGTGCCGTATGTTGGATGATAGGTAGCACTCAGCAATTCGTAGCCTGGCATTCTTCTCTTTTTTGGAGATCGTGTTCTGTTACATTGGGTTTCCTGAATGGCGACTACGTCGATATCGCCACTTTTTATCAAAGTCAGTGTTCGATATGTCCACCATTTTCTTTAATTCATTTGTCAATACATTCCATAAAATATCGTCTCATATTAAATAGCATCATTGGTTTTAAAGAAACTGCTGCAGTATTTATTATAGTTGTTTTAAGTATAATAATTAGTAATTTTTTGAAATTTTTATGAATTAAACAATTATTATTATCTCACCACAAGAATATGATTACCACGAACAATCCAACGTTCAGGAAAGTGTATTTAAATACTGTCTTACTCCGCTTTCACTGTAATGTAATGGTGTACCATCTTGTAGAAACCACATATTTTGCTTTAAGTTTGATAACAATTCTTCCAATAAATCAATAAAATCATTTTATTAAAAATGTAAATCAATCTCGACATTCAAATTGCATAGGTAATTCGCATATTCGAAAAAAATAATTATCAATGGTTCCAAACCATGGGACTGAATTTTAAATATGAATTTTGAATGATATTTTACAGATATGCGAATTATCTTTCAATTTAAATGGTGAGATTTATCTACATTTTTTTAAAAATGATTTTATTGATTTATTGGAAGAATTGTCATCAAACTTAAGGCGAAATATGAGGTTTGTACAAGATGGTACACCATTACATTACAGAGAAAGCGGAGTGAGACAGTATTTAAATACACTTTCCTGAACGTTGGATTGTTCGTGGTAGTCATATTCTTGTGGTGAGATAATAATAATTATTTAATTCATAAAAATTTCAAAAAAATACTAATTATTATACTTAAAACAACTATAATAAATACTGCAGCTGTTTCTTTAAAACCAATGATGCTATTTAATATGAGACGATATTTTATGGAATGTATTGACAAATGAATTAAAGAAAATGGTGGACATATCGAACACTGACTTTGATAAAAAGTTTAATGTTATTTAGTTTAACTATTTTTTAATTTGGTTTGTAAATAAAATGATTTGATTATGACTTTAATTTAATACAAAACGTAAAATGTTTGATGTAAAATCCAATTATTCTGTTATTTTATCAAATCCTATTATTATTTATCCTGCTGATATATTTATTTTATTTAATATTTCGTTAACTATTGACTTTATTAAAGGTATTTTATAACAAAATTCAGAAGTAGTGATGTTTTTATCTATTTTTCTTTCATTGCCTGGAGTAATTGCATTAAATCAGAATTAAGTAGTTGATTTGTAAAATGCGATTATGTCGAAAACTGTTGAGTTTTGAAGTTATTAACACGTATATCTTTTTTTGTTTAAATAATGTATCTTTAATAGTTTTTATCAAGAATACCAATAATTTGAAGAACAAAAAAGTTTAGTGTAAAAGTATGCCACGTATGTGGCATATGTGGCGCCCTATATTAGATATATTAAAGTATGCATCAAATTATAATTTCTGATGTTCAATAGTAGCCAGCTGTAAATTTTTATACATAAATGTTTACAAACATGAAAGTTATAGCCAAAAATAAAATTTTAAATTTCCACTTTAACACCCTGTATCTTTTTTCTCAACAACATTTTATTAAGGCATATTTGGCCCAATAGCCATATTTTGGTCCAACTAACCTGTCCTTAGTCTATGTCCCAATAGTTATGACTCACCCTGTATTATGATGGTACACTTACCGGTCTGGAAAATACGTGAATACCAATCACTGCAGTATCCTTATCCACAATACTGCACAAGCCATAACACTCAAAAGCTTTGACCCGTACTGAATCGTGTTCATGTATAAGCAATTCTTGAATAAAATCCTCCTTTAATGTTCTCAGGGCTGTCGTTAAATGAGTCACTTTGGTTGAGCAAAGAACAGCATAGGCAATATCCAAGCATTTAACAATCGTGAAGAGATCTGTTTTCTTCTCAACGGTGGGTTGGCGTTCCTGTTCAGTTTGAGCGTTTTTTAATTCGGTTAATTCCGTAGATAGAATACTTATTTCGTGCTTCAAGCGTTCTGCCTCCATGAAGTTTTGGTTTTCTACGGCTATTTCTTGTTTTGTCTTCTGTTTGATTATTTGAATTGTCAATTGAGAAACCTATAAAATATAACATTTAATTGTAATAAACTAATATGTTCAGAGTGATAGGATGCATCATTGTTCTATGTCAAATATTTATGTTTTAAACAAAACAATAGAAATTGTAAGTTAGGTATAGTAAACAACATGCTTTCTCTACATTAGAGGGTTATTGAAACCATAAGATGACAGTCACCTTTATTACAGGATCCTCTAATAAACGACAAAATACTTCACGTCTAAAAGAGAGTTATTGCTAACATTAAAAAATATTTTATTATGACAAATGACATTAAATATTTTTGTAGAAATGCCTATAAGATTCCTATAAATGACTATACCCTCATCGGAAAATACAACGGAGTGACAAATACTTAAACGGAGTGACAAATACTTAGTACAAGACCACAACTTGAACATACGGCAAAATTTAATTAAATTAATTTTATGTAAATTATTCAGTGTAACTAAACTAGGATTCACCAGTAGATTTCAGCGTTGGCTCTTACGGACAATGTTAATCAAATGGAAGAAAACACTGCAGCGTTGCTAGTTCATCGTCGGCCTCAACGTGGCAGAGCCAGCTTCGAATTTAACACTCCCTTACACACGGAGCACTTGCAATTTTTCAGTAACATTCACTGATTTGCCATATTGACTGTTCCAGAAAATATAAAATTTATTTTAGTTCGTTTAAAATTGCCAAATTTAGGCAAATAAAAACATTTGCCTAAATTTTCCAAAAATACTCTATATCGACTATTGCGAGAGTTGGGGTTTGTTTATGAAAAAAGAGGAAAGAAAGCAGTAATGATGGAACGTCCTGACATAATAAATTGGAGGGATACATTTCTTAGAAAAATACAGAATTTTCGAAATTAGGGATACAATATTTTCTATTTGGATGAAAGTTGGGTAAATATCGGACATACAGTAAATAAGGTATGGATGGATTCAACCATAACCAGTTATAAGGATGCATTTTTAAAAGGCTTAACTACTGGTCTAAATGATCCAAAAATGGGGGTTTTCTACTAAATTCAGAATGTGCATTTTTAGCAAAAAAAGATTCAGGCGACTACCATGACGAAATGAACGGCGAGTCTTTCGAAGACTGGTTTGAAAATAAACTAATCGCAAACCTCCCAAAAGGAGAAAAAAATGTGGTAGTAACGGATAATGCTCCATATCATTCATACAAAAAAATTTCCCAAGGAGCTCCTGGAACAAACAACAAGTTCAAGAATGGTTACGAGAGAAGGATATATTTTATGAAGATTATTTAAAGTCAGAACTATTTGATGTAGCAAACAGTTATGCAGATATATACGACAAGTATAACATCGAAACTTTGGTCGAGAAATACGGCGTAGAAGTATTACGATTGCCTCCCTATCACTGTGAGCTTAATCCAATAGAGATGGTTTGGAGCCAAGTTAAACATTACGTTGCAGCCCGAAACACTGACTTTAAATTGTGGCAAAATTATATACAGCATGTCATCAGAATTGCAAAAGAAATGTGGATAGCTGACAACCTACAAGAAGATATCCTACCGGTGATTAACACAGCCAACGGCAGTTCCAGTGAGGACGATTTTTCCGAAATGGAGTAGAGACCTGACACTGTTATTGTAAGTCTTATCTTTATTCATTAGGTAGCGTTTAGGCTACATAAATTTTTATTCTTTTATTAGCGTAATTTTATTCTTTGGTGTATACACACTTTTCTTTGTAATAATTGTTGAGACTGTTAATAGTAATAATCGATCCAAGTTGGTATATATCCTGTCGATATATAAATTAACAATTTAAATTTGTAGGCAGTACGGAGCTACGAATTAGTAGACTCCGTTCTGTTGTTACACCCTCTATAATTTAGTAAAAAAGATTTCAAAGAATATAGTTTTATTAAATTTTGTTTAATTTGCAAAAACTTCAAGTTGTAAATAATGTAAATAATAGATTTACTTCTAATAGGATTGCATGATTTAATCGTACAGGAGGGCCTGTATCACACCTGCAGACTATGAACGTGTCTAGCGGCCTAAGCGTCAACGTCGCTTCTAATAAGCACTGTACTGACATCCTTTCGTGAATTTGTCTATAATAGACCGACGGACAGTCCGCTTTAATAAAACTCTGATTTGAACTAAACACCGACGAAACAGTATGCGCTCCGTGCGTGACCATGGTAGGGGTACATTGAAACGATGCCAGCGTGCGTAGCGGCGAAATATGACAAAATTGGAATATGGGACAAAATATTTTTACGCATAAATTTTATCAACAATGTTGCGTATTTTGCAAATATATGCAATATATTGTGCTAATACATGTTGCGTATTTAATTGTGCTAATAATAGCAAAAACAGTTAGTGTAGTTTTTATAGGTTCCCAAAGATTACATATAAATTAGAGAAAAGAAAAAGATGAATTCGTTCCATTAATACGAAAAAGTAATTATCACATAATTTCATTTTTATGTAATTGAAATAGGAAAAATTTAAATAATTTACCTTGAATGATATTTCATAAGGCTTCAAGCTAACTGCAGATGACTTTAGCTTTTATATCATAACTTTTACTATTATTGTTTTTAATTATATGCTCTTTTGCGTGAAAAACTTGATTTGTCAGTACTAGATTTTTTCCGTTTGGAGTTGAAAAGATATATTATCATGAATTTTGAGAAACACAGTTTTTAATACTACATTTATTTTGTACATAAACTGAAAAAATATAGTTAAAAAACTAATTTATTAATAATTGTCAATTTCGCATGTATTTAACAATGTCAAACATATGTCATATGTTTAACCTGAAAATTGGGACTCCAAAATTGTCAGATGAAGGCGGTAGGTGTCGCGTCAGTCACGCACGGAGCGAATACGATAACAACATTAAATCACATTTTTGAGTAACGAATGCCAACGATTAGCTCCAGAACAGCTGTAGTGTCGAAACGAAGTGGCCGGCTTATCAATAGATTAAATTGTTTCACTACGATCAGTTTATCAGTAGCGTAACTGCCGCAAATATTGCTTCTTAACCTATTATATTTATTTTTATAAATTGTCTGTCAAGTGTTTGGTGTTTATGTGGTTATTAACAATTTATTTATATCGTTTGTATGTTAACTTTGGTAAGTGGATATTTTCTATCACTTCTTTGTGAATTATAAATTTTTTTATTTAATACTGGCAGTCAACAAAACGATAGTGTTGCATACGGATTTTCTTTGGGTGTAAAATATTGTAACGTGAAACTACCATTCGATTGTTTAAACTTTACTTAGAACATTACGAATTAATTTATATTATATTTGCGCATAATAAAAAATAATCATTACAGAGGACCTGAATGGAAGGACCGGAAGAAAACATAATGACATAATAGTCGGTATGTTTGATATACAAGGATATACCTACATAAACATGGAGGCACGAAACACGAAAACTAATACCCCACTGATTACGTTATAGTAAACTATGAAACTATAAACAACTACTACTAGTATGAACAGAATTCCCATAAATTTGTAAAAAACGAATCAAAATTTTGTATGAAATCATGGAATACCAGTACAGTATATACCTTAAGTTTTGCTGCCATAAAGTATTTATCGCACAAGATGCCTCAGTTTTATGATAAGAAAATTTATAGGAGTAAACTACAAGGTTACTGGGGAATATATTGGCAACACAGGTAGTTAGAAGCTGTCCATAGGACCAGAAGTCTTTAGACATCATATCCTGGGCTATTCGGATGACCTGGTCGTTTTAGTTTATGGAAAATTTAATGGCACACAAATGGAATGCAGCAAGCTCTGATTCTAGTTGCAGAATGAACTTCAAATATAGAGCTTAACATAAGGAGGAATTTAAAGGGACTAAGTCCTCTAAGTCTGAATGGTACCAATCTAAATCTGATGAGTGAATTAAAATACCTTGGGGTAATATTAGACGCAAGACTTACTTGGAATGGGCAGATAGAACGAATAACCAAAAAAGAGCGGTGACTACGTTAATGGTACACAGACAAACTGTTTTTATTGAATAATACAAGTTTTAAATTAACCGAACGAGTACCAGTGTAAGTAATCCCCCATTTGTTGGTCAACAGCTACGGGTGGAAGAACTGACACGTGGAAAGGCACTTCATTGTCCTGGAGCTGAGAAATTAACTCCGAAGGCGGAAGAGCTAAATTAGTCAACGGTAGTGAGATGTGGAAAGCCACGGGATGACTACCAAATTAAAGATTTGCATGGATATCCTTAGTAAAAATCATCATGGACCCACTAGTTGATAGGACAATCAAAATTTAGAAGACTGGGCCTCTCAGGTCGTCATCAAGGTAAATCCCAGTCTAACAAATAAGAATAACTCTATAACACTGAAAATTGGAACATCGAACGTAAGAAGTTTATACCAATCTGGCAAACTAGATAAAACTGTGTCGGAAATGTGCAGAATGAAGATTAACATAGTAGGGCTCAGCGATATATAATGGCAGGAAAATGTAACACCAGAAATGGAACAATGTGTTATTCCGGTAAAAAAAACTACAATCACAGACAGGAAATTGGTAATATAGTTGATATTACTCAAATTTTATGATAATTATCAAAAAGCTGATTTAAATGCTAAAGTGGGCCAAGGAGAATTGGAGAATTGTGTGGGGCCTTATGACTCGGGGAGAGGAATGAACGCGGCGAGAGGCTGGTTGATTTCTGTATCAATGAGGTACTCACAATTGCAAACACCTTGTTTAAACTTCCTAAACGTAGATTATACACATGGAGTTCACCAGCTGATAACAAAATAGTCAGAAATTAAATAGTTTAGAGTGAAACTAAATAATGTAAAGTACTCTAGCTCCAAAAGAATCATGGATTTAAGGCGGCTCAAATAACACATTATGCGGAAACGAAATTTAAAGTAAACGAGAACTTAAGGAAAGTTAAAGAAAGTAATGCAGAAACTATACTGAACAAAAATGGGACAAAATTCAACATG